TAGATTTAACTCATTTTTCCTTTGGAAATAAATTATATTCATATTGCATACCTATTATTTAAAAAAAATACTAGGGAAAAATAATAATTTTAGGTAATAAATAGGTATTTACATTTTTAATGCTTATTTGCGGTTGATTGCAAAGATTTTCTTGCATTACTAAAATAATATATTATTCAAATTATTGATCAAACGCAAACTCCTGATGGAGTATCAGCCGAACCAAAACCTAAAATCTATTTTTAAACACCAAATGTAAACAATTTTTCATACACGCGCGTAATGATTATATGAAAATATAAAATATTCATCATTTGAATTTATACCTATTGGCTATTTTATTTTAAGTATTAAGTAATGTAATAATAACAAATTATTTTTGAACAGCGGCCCACCGGGAAAGTTCCCGGTTTCCCGCCGGCCCAGTCCGCCCCTGTTCCTTACTTTCTGTTTGTTAATTTTATATTAAATTCATTGTTATTCCTATCATTATATGCAGTTAATTTTAAATATTTAAGTATACCCCTTAACATTAATCGCTTTAGTATTGTTATATTTGTCGAACTGTTCCAGAATACAATCATAAGTTCCCTGTCAGGAATCTGCAAATATCTTTGAAGATAAGTCGTCGACAAGTTAGAAGCCCCCTGCATGTTAATACTTCTGTAATAACTGACTCATCAGAGGTGCCATCAGTTCTGTCTTATGTTGAATCTGATCGATCGGATTGTGGATCATCCACAATCACATGTACAGACACTGTCGTCATTACCAAGGTTAATACTCTACCGGACAAAGGTGCTGTCATCCTACAATTCACGTTTATTACATGTTGCATGAAACAGTCCATAATTACGGTATCACTGACAACCGAATGCATGTGTAGACCGGTTAACAATTCGTGCTTAAGTTCCAGAAAGAAATCAACGGATTGTATTCTCCAGACATTGGATTATTGTTGCTGTCCACTTTTTATATGCATAAGGTCGCGACTAATGAGAAACACTTAATTTTGTGGAAATACTGGAAAACGCTTTTTATTGATGGTAGCATACATTGTAGGCCCTAGTTTGGAGTTCAGACCACAACAAATTAATATTTTGTAAAATGTAAATACAATAATAATTAAGCATATTATCCGTGTTACTAAAACCATGGAGATTGGAGGCCAGATGACTACATGAATATATTAAGTTTATGTTCTTAACAATATTACTTATCAATGGATATAATGTATCCGTCATCGCGCGATTTCGAAGCGGACCAATCAGTGGGTATCTGACGGAGTGGTGTAACCGATCGATAAGAAATAACCGCAACCACGATACGATAACTATGATAACAATCTCGAAGATACGTGAAGTACAACTACTGCTACTAATATCGCGTATTCTCGTACAACTGTACTGTCGAAAAGAAAATTCGTAATCGTCTTGATTCATCCCGTCAACATTTCGTGACAATGGTCGTAGTAGAGTCTAGACATTTTTCAAGTACAGGAACATTACTAACATTGTTCCCTCAAGACGGTGTGTGTGTTACCCAAGTGTCGCCTCGGCACTCTGGCAGTATCACCAAATCTTGACGTTTCCGCGATAAGGTCCGCGCGTGCCGGGTTATCCGACGACGACGGCGACAACAACTACTATTACGACGACAGCGACGTGCGCATCATTCAGTCAAGCGCGGGTGTCGCCCATTCCCTCCTTTTCGAAGTCGTTGGCAAATTGTGTCGAAGAAAACGAACGAAACGGACGAGTTCGACGCTATTGTGAAGGAGGCCGCAGGTATTATTTTTCGTTAATTTTTTTCATACAAAAGAACTGAAAAACGGTACGAGACGTTTCGAGGTCCGTCATTTTATCCGTTTTTCTGAAAGTCGACGACGCCGATATCATCTCGAATTCGTTCGATCGTTTAGGCCTGACCATTGTTTCGAGGTAAAGACTACGCCGCTTGACGTTTATTGTTTTTTGTTTATGATATTTTCAAATGTTTACTGCTTTCTTAGTCTACCATGGGCGGGGTAGGGGATAAATAGTGCATCATCATTTTAGTTTTTTGGAATGAACTATAATATACTACCTACGTAGGTATTTGTATTGTACTTAGCGATTGTCATTCACGGAAAATTCTTATTTATTATAATATTATTTATAATTTAGATATTGTATTTTTTAGTGTCTTAACGTTTAAAAACGCCATTAGTACCTAGCATAGAACACCTTAAGATGAATTATTAAATCTGATTGACATGGTTAAAATGTTCATAAAATATAAATTTGTTTGTTTATCTATTAATCAAATTTTTTCTATATATCAACCACATGCACATACTATATTTTATTACTGTTTACAATTTTTAAAAATGTATTTAGACATACATAATAACCTATAGTATATAAATAGTAGGTATATATAAAAAGTAAAATTAAAAAAAATTCTCTCTTTCACCGGAAAAATTTGAGTTCAAATAGGTATTATGAGCTTTAAATGCTGTTAACCTAAGAATTGATACCTATTCACTATTAGTAATTTATTATAATAGCTCATGCACATTACCTAAAACAAACATTAGTGATTAATATTTAATGTATTAATATTGTGTATTTCAATTTTTTTTGAACATATAGATATTAGATAATATGCAACAATGGTTTGAACAAGATCAAACAAATGCCAAACAGGCGCATTCATCAGATACAAATTCTCATACGGTACCAAGATCATCTAAAGAAATGGAGGAGTTATTAGTACTCAAAACATTCACTGTTGAAGCTGAAACAATAACCGGACAATATATTTGTGTATCTGGTAACTGTTCAGTCTTAGGTAATTGGGAAGCGAACAAGGCATTTGTTCTAAACAATACAAATGTGATACGTATAAGAAAAAAGTAAGTTGATTGTAATCATTAGAATGCTGATATCAAATAATAATATTGTATGTCAATACATAATATTTTGATTAGCCATTTAAAAATAAAACAGTTACATTTCCACTTAAGTACTTTTAGTTTAGACTGGATTTTCTTTCATATTTATAATTTTAGAGTTAAATTTAATTTTGCAAGTATGTAATACCTGTATTAAAAATTAAGCCGATTCCAATTATATTTAGTTAAGTGATTATCTATATTAAAATATATGTTATAGGCTATTCATCATAGTATAATATGGTTGAATAAGAAACTTAACACATTCACCTCAGCCTTTGATTGGCGTTGGTAGTAGGCCCTTCTGGCCACCGCAGATCCGTGGATATTGAAAATACACTCCTATCATAATTCGGCTATAGAGGCACTGCTTTATTATTTATCAGGCCATATAGAACATATTAACAGAAAATTCTTATCAGTCTGTTTTATTGTTTCCCGGGTTTTTTCGTTTACTTTTATAGTCCCGCGTATGTTATCCGTAGATATAGATACTGTGGCACCAGACTAGAAATATACGTGTGGCAGTGATCGTGTTAATAGATTGTAATTTCCAAATATTTAATGTACTAAAATTGAAATCTAACCACATCATAACTAAGTGTACTAGTATTAATACTTTCAACTCTTTAGGGGGACTACATTTGATTATGTTTAAGAATACAAATATAGTAACATTTTAATTTAATGACTTGCTAATATGTGTGACAAGTAAATGAGCATTGGTATGTACTATATTTGTGTTTAATCTTTTGATCATTTTTTCTTAGAGATAACATGTCATAAAATATTCTAAAAGTTGACTTTATTTAGATAAAACTAATATTTATTTATTAGACTTATAACTAGAGACATATTGGCATTAGCATGTATTATCATTATCATACAAGACATATATTTTTACTAACCCTTTCACTATTCCAGGCGCACTATTACATTTCTTAATCTTATAATACTATCATTTTTCCAATAACTGTATGATTTTAGTAAACTTTTCTAGAAATTTTATATTGTAGATTTAAAAATTAAAAATTAGAAAAAAATAACTAAAATTTTATTTTTTGTAGCATACACTGGTTGCAGTGAATAAATAGTGTAGCAGTGAAAAGGTTAAGGCATTTTTTTATAATACAATGAGCTTAGACTTTTTTTACTTGCATAATTTGTAATACTTTAATTGTTAGTATTTTGATCGTTGAAGTTGGTATTAGTTATTATTATTTTTTTTTTAAATCACTTGAAACAAATTCAACAATTTTTTACATACATTGTACACTTTAAATCTGATTTTAATAATAAATGTTATAATCAATAAATATCAATTGTAGGTATATCGTATACTTCTCAGTATATATCAATACTATTTAGATATACAAGCTGACTTTATTTTTGTATCTTATATGTGTTACTTTAATCTAGAATGTCCAAACTAGGACATATCTGGCTTGCTAATTGCAGCAAATAATCCAAAAATGAACTCTTCATATTATAATGCTTTTTTTCACAAATTAGGTTGTAAATTTGTAGTTCTACATTTAATATCAAACTATAATAAAACAATACTAAATTTTTTGAAGTTCATGAAAAATGCTCTACAAGTAATAATTTATAATAATTGTTTCTAAAACTGTAATAACTTATTAAGTAACTTTATTTTTTATAAATGTGTATTTTGTAAGATACCTAATAATTAACCATGTATGATAATTGATTATGTTTAATTAAATATTTTTCCTTGTATTAAACAATCTATGCAATAATATTATAATTTATTTTAATCAACACATTTTAATGTATGTTATTTTAGTCGAAAATACTGTGTTTGGACTGGGTCTATACATTTGCCACCAGAAAAAGAAATATTCTTTCGTTATTTCATGGCATATATTGTAGAACCTGACGGTGAATTTATAAAAGAAAGACATATTTTTGTTCATTCATGGGAGTCTCAACAGGAACCTAGACGTGTACAAGATGGTATGTTAATTATAATAAAGAACATGGTAAAATATTATAATAATAAATATATTAATCTTAGAAACCCAAATATCGAGCAGTGATAATGCATTTCAAAGTGATATGTATGGTATGAATGATAAAAAATATATCAGCAAGGGGTTTTTAACTACGGAATGTGCTATTCAGTTCAAATTATTTGATACTCCTATTACATTCTGGAACTCTAAACTACAAAGTAAAATGGTATGGAAATTATTATATAAATTATATTAAAGTTTGCATACTAAGAATATTATTTACGTTTTTTTTTAGAGCTTAGTTAGTGTAAAGATGACACCTGTACCTTTGTCAAAACTGTCAACTGATTCTGGGGATACATCTCCTAATACAAGTAGTTTCATACATGAAGATTCAAGCTCACAAGGAACTGATTATATTGAGAAACATTTTGGATGGCCATATGTAGAATGTGTGGTAAATATAAATTGTTTAATGTTTATGCAGTTTAAAAATTACCCTATAAACAGACATGCCTTAAGATTTGGATTTAGATTTAAATTATTTTCATAGATTTTTAGTATAGGTGATTTTCCATTCATCACTAAAATATTTAAAAAACAAATAGTCTTTAATTTAAAGTATTAAATTATCTACTCTAACTGTTAAATTAATATAAAAAACACCGATCAAAACCTTAAAGATATGACTTAAGAATTAAAGTTTATTAAATATTTTATTTAATATAATTATGTGTATCTGTTATGATTGTTTAACTTCTGAACGATTTGACCTATGAAATAAAAGATATCAATAGATTTCTTGAGACTTAAGTACAGTACAGTAGAATCTACCTTATTGAGACACCATTTTTTGGAGACAAATTTTCATAGTCGTGAACGAATGTATTTGTTTAAGGCAATTTAACTTCGAGGGCAAACTTTTGGTTATATGGGATAAAAATCAAAGTGTCTAACTCGTTATTCTGACCTAACTTATCTACGTTCTTATCAAAACTAGCTATCTAATTTTTATGGCTCTTTTATATTTTATGTACGTATGTACATGGATAAATAACTAGGTATGATCGCAAATTTGTGATACGCAGGTGTCATGGCCGCCACTTGCAATGCTATTATCACTTTGATTTATTAGTTAACATAACAATACAAAATTATTAATTCCATGGTTAAATAAAACTAAAAATCCCTGACAGTCGATATTCCTTTCCATGTTAAATCATGCAATATAGATTTATAATATATTGCATATTAGTAAGTGCGCAGCTCATAACTAAAATACGTCTCAATGCAATCATACCTTGTTATTTAACCATGCATATGTATATGTACGTATAGGTAATATACTAATATCTTACGTCAATTATGTCAAAGCAGCCTACCAAAATATGAATTAAGTATGTTAATCAATTCATTTATAATATGTATAATAAAATAATCATCTTATTAATGTATAATATATGTACATATGTACACAATAGTAAATATAATGTATTACTGCCAATAATAATAAAAATAATTTTTAAACAGAGTATGAATTAAGTATATATGTATGTATATATATGCACTTAAATAGTTTCGGTTTATTTTTCATTTGGTTTATGGGGACAAATAGTCATCGCCCAATGTGTCACAAGTGAGCGGATTCTTCTGTACTTAGTTTCTTTTTTTCGAACCCTATGGGGTGGATCTTGATTTTTTTGTACTGGGATTGCATTTGGATACAATTAATAAAATATAACATAATTATTTCTCATCATAATTTGATATAATTTTCAGTACTGTATTATATATTGTTTAGACTATTAAATTATATTTTCAATATTAATTTAAAATTGAGTAACAACTGTTACAATATATTAGAGGCAAGTCTATGGTTGAGGTCCAATACTTAAAAAAATGTTCAACAAATTTGGAAAAAAATATCTGAAATAAAATAAATGATAGGTGTATTAGTTATACATTTATAATAGATAGACAGCTTATACAGGTATTGTTAGTTAGGTTATATCTAAATGATACATGTGCAAATACTTAACTGATTTTGACAATTCAGGGAAGATAATAAATTCAATCAGTACTTTGAGGGTGAGCCATCCACTATTTATCTGATGCTGGTGCACTGCGCATCTTAGTTAAATTTATTCCTGGGTAATTCAGCTAATATATTTAAATGTTTTCAATTTTCTGTATAGATGTTTATATTTTTACAAAAATCATGCGCAAGGACACTTTTGGTATGGGAATCACACGTACAAATTTACTTAACAAGTTCACATATTAGCATCAGTATAAGCTAGATATCTTGTCTAACTTTACTCCTTAATTAAACCCTTAAATTTGTTTGATAAATTACCACGGTTTTTAAATACATATATTTATTATGTAATTAGTGTATTATTATTAATAGATTTAATAATTATTTTAGGATATTCCTGGAGGTCATAGCTTTAAGCATCAAAATCAGTTTGGTACTACTGTGCAAGAAAATACTTTTCATTTATTTCAAACAAAAATGTACAATTTCAGTCGTGTTGTAAGTATCTAGTTTCCAAAATTAATATTTTATTTATGTTGGTTATTAACAATTACCTTTTATGCTAATACTTCTGCAGGGATATCTTTTTGATTTGTATCTGCATAAAGAATCTTCGGATGAACCTCCTTTCCATATTGGATTCACTCACATCCTACCAAGTAATATGAAATATAGCAATGGAATAATTATATCTCCCATCACCAGTGTTCGTCATAGGCCAATAGGAGAACTTAAAAGTAAATTGATTAATATATTCCTAAAAGTTAACCATCTTAGTATTAAAATGTTCCTATTGTCATAATTACAGTTGATTATTTAATTATAAAGCCAACAAAAGATATCAAATGTACGCTGGAACAATTGAGATTGACAGACTGGAAAAGTAACGATGTTCCATTAGATATTGGCCATAGAGGATCAGGTTCATCGTTTAAACAAATCTTATCAGAGTAAGTTCGGATTTAATGATATTGCCAAATATTAAGTATGTTATTGCTAAGGCAAACGAATAATAATTATTCTAGTACTTATAAATTTCAAAATATTTGTGTACTTTTGCATTTTAAATATGCAATACAATTTTTTTTTTATCATATCTCCTAGTGCATTGGTTGCCAACCAGTTGATTGTGATCGAATGGTCGATCCTTGCTGAAATATTGGTCAATTGTTTTAAAATTATTAAAATTTAATGAACCAGCAAGCACACTGTTTTAAATAGTACAACCGTTTTGTATTTATTTGTTTTTAACTTACATTATATTTTTTATCTTATTTTACCGTCATTGGAATTACACGAAAATATAGTTATTTATGTTTTTAACTGAAAAAACAACATTACAAATTTAAATTTAAAAAAAAAATGGGAAGTAATTACAATCAATTGTATTTTAATACTATGCCTAAATTAAATAAATTACAGTTTAAAATTCAATAAATTAATATTACAAATATTAAAATACAATACACAACTACTCTTGCTATAAATAATAAACACGCCCCTCGACAGTTAAACCAATATCGGTTGACCACATATGTAATCTGTAACAAACTTTTGCACTTTATATATTAATTAAAGTAGTATTTATTAGCTTAGAAAAAAATATAATTTTCCGAGAAATAATAAAAGCTAAATATAACATACAATGTATTATTGGGCTGCATGCATTTAATATGATTCATAATATACCTAATTAACAGGGGTCAATCACCAGATACTTAAAAATTGTATAGAGCTTTCTTGTTCGAAAAGGTTGGCAAAACCTGGCAAGGTTTAACCCCGTCTTTGTGTAATGAAATATTTATAAATCACTAATTGTTTTCCAACCTTTCTAGACAAATGTAAAAAACTTGAAGTTTGTGGCCCTAATTATCACTGTTTAGAGTTCTGATTATGGAAGTATTTTTTTTCTTATAATGTTATATGAGCCCAAAAATAATAACTCATGATAATTTTTAAATGTGATTTTTAACAGAAGTTTTCAACTATTCTGCAGTATACTTTTTATATATAACTTTTAAAACTAATTTTCATTGTTTTTTAAATTAAGTTAATTTACGATACATTCTTTTAAAATGTAACTATTAAAATTATTAATTTTTATTTTGTTCTTAGTTGTTCACACATTCGTGAAAATACAATAGCATCACTGAAAGAAGCAGCAAATAAAGGGGCTGATTTAGTTGAGTTTGATGTACAACTTACAAAAGATTTGGTACCTATTATTAATCACGATTTTGTTGTATCAATGGCAACAAAATCTAAAACTAATCTTTTAGCCGAAGATGTTGAAATGGTTCAAATCCCATTGAAAGATTTTTCTTTCGAACAATTACAAAAACTAAAGGTAATTATTTAAGATAAACTATTTAAAACATGTATGCATTACAAAATTTTGTCTGGTATAATCAAAACATTTATGCAAAACCATATATTTTTTAGTATTTTTGTATTATATTTTTTTTAGTTTTTACTTTTGTGTATGACTACATATTTTTTATTCTGAAGTAGAATATTATTCAAAGTATTTATTTGTATAAAATTCAATTTTTGGACTAGTAGTTATTAGTGTCATATGTTTTGAGGACAGGTAGTCAACTAGGCTACCATTTTGCAAGCTTACTTTACTCCACTCACGGACACTTAAAATATCTGTAACTCCTACTATTTGATTTTGATATATTTAAATACTCCATAAAATATTCTTTGCAATGAAAAATTATGAATTTAAGTTATTTAAAAAAGTAAATGATAGCTATTTAAAAATGTAAGTCATTAAGTTTCTTTTCTGAATTGTTGTTTTGTTACCTTAAATTATGTAGAAAAAATTTTTTTTAAAAACAGATTTTGAAATAATAAATTCTCTGAGAAAATAATCCCTGAGTACTATTAATATTTTGTAGATAATTCATGTTTTATTAACATGGAATTATCATTTATCCCTCTGATAATTATTAATCAATTTATTATAATATTAGTTAAAAATAAATGTCGATGTACATTTTTTAAATTCTGTAGTCAACTTTATTTGGATTTACCATTTTAAAACAAACTTAGGTATCAATGAATTAAACGAATAATTTTAACAGCTTATGTTTTTGGCTGTCTTATAGTCTGCAGTATACCAGCATATAACTAGTAAAACTGCACACATGTATACAAATTTTACTTCCCAATCAAAAAAGTATCATAATGTATAAATGTCAGAGATTTTATTTTACCAAATACCAAATAAAATTTAAAAACCTATTTCTTCCTATTTAAGAATAGGACACACCTAATGCACAAATGCGCTTTCAGTATAGATTCAATGGAAAATCGCTTGCCATTTTCATTATGAGTCCAAGATTCATATATTATACTTTATAAATTCTGAAGTAATATTTTATGAATAATTATTTTACAGATTTATCATGTAAAAGAACCTTATACTCTTTCCGAAACTCACTTTCTAAATGATGTAAGAAATGACTATCAACCTTTTCCAAAACTTGAGAAAGCATTTACAGATGTTGATGCCAGTGTCGGATTTAATATTGAATTGAAGTGGACGATGAAACTTCAGGTTATTATTTATTATAACTATAAATTATACCTATATAAATCAAATGATTGTATTTTATGATAAATTTTAGTTCATTCTTATTTTATTTGTTTTATATTTAATTGGCCATTTAATTTTCAGGATGGAACCTATGAACTCGATAACCCATTTGACATGAATTTATTTGTTGACACTATACTTAAAACCACATTTGAATTTGCAGGATCACGAAGTATTGTGTTTTCTTGTTTTCACCCTGATGTCTGTACTATGTAAGTTATTATGGTGCTTCTGTCCTTTTTGGAAAATTTATCTATTTACCTATTTCTTAACTTACATTTTTTAGCCTTAACAGAGCATTTCTATTATTTTTTTTTTTTTTTTAAACAATTACGTTTTTTCAAAGGTTTTATCATTGAAATGATGTATACTATACAAATCAAAGTAAAAATTAAGATTAAATCAGTAATAATTACTAATTTTATTTGTATGTGACAACCTTATTCTTTTGAAATATTGTATCAGTATTCATAGAAGATTTTATTTTTTAGAAACTATTTATTTACAACCTTACATACAATATAAATGCATTTTTGTAACAGTACATGCAGCAAATTTTACTAAACAATTTATTATTTTAAAATGAATGCATAGCAAATGATTAACTATAGCCAATTTATATTGTAATATGCACAATTATTTAATATACAATAAAATATTTTATAATTAATGATTAATAACTTTTTAGGCTTAAAATGAAGCAAAATCGGTATCCTATATTGTTTTTAACACAAGGCGTTACTATACGGTACCCTTCATATGCTGATCCTAGATGTCATTCTATACAAAACGCTGTTTACCATGCTACTTGTCACGATTTATTGGTAAATTTCTTGATGCTTATTTCAACTTATAAATCATATTATGCAATTTATACATATTAGTTAATTATTTATTTATTTATTTATTTAACCTGTAACTAATAACCTTGTATGTTTATTATAACTTAAATTACATTCACATTTTTCATATAACTTAAATTATAAATATTAGATTGTTTCACTTTAGAATAAATTTGTTTACATTTAGGGAGTTAATGTTCACTCTGAAGATTTGTTGCGTGATCCATTGCAAATAGATATTGTCAAACAAGCTGGACTTGCGCTATTTTGTTGGGGAGATGATAATAATTGTAAAGATGTTGCTAATAAATTCAAAAGACTTGGTGTAAATGCTGTTATATACGATAAGTAATGAGTTGTTATATTATACTATTATTAATGCTTTTATGTTAAAACTAATTGTTTGGTTATAATTTACACAAGCTTTTTTATGGTGGCTCATGATAATTCAGCATACTATTATACAAGGCTGGACTTTTAAGACAAGTTAAATATTTTATAAATAACTTTTGCCATGATATTCAGTTGCTATTACTTAATTCATTATTCAGTCATGTGAAGTTAATATTTTTCTTAATTTAAATCTCATAGCCAACTTTTCTGATTAGTAAAAAATTATTATTTTAAATATAAATAAATTTAATTGGAAATATTGTTTATAATGTATCTATTATAAATACCAAATTGTTGACTTTCTGAGGTGTAGAAAGCCCTGTTCTCGATTTTAATAGAGATTAAAAATAGTGTATGAAAATAGCTTATTATGCAATTTCATATAAAACTACAATTTCACCAAAATAAGTTAATTTCAAATCTCTCAACAATTATACTATACCAAACAACCTAATTAAATATTTAAATACGTTGATGTTTATGCTTTATACCATTATCTCCTAAAAAAAATAACATTAATAGTTACTAACTTCTGTTTGTAGGATTATAGTATGATACAGGGCCTTCTGTTTTTTATTATTTTTGTCAATTACTATTATAAATGTATTATTTTTATATATTTATACTTTTATCTAATTTGTTTATTGTGCTTTGTCATAGATTGTTAAAATTTAGTTACAAAAAAAAAGTAACTGATTTTTACTGAGTCAGGTTACTTATTTTTTTATTTAACTAGTACATTTTACCAGTTAAAAAAGTAAATTACAAAAAATTGTTAACACTCTTGCTTTGCTATCATCTAAGATTTATCTAAAATACTATTTTGAAGTATTTTATATTTTTTTATTGTTCAGTTGACCCCTTAATATTTTCAAATAACATATATACATGTTTTTAAATATTAGGTCAAATGTTGAATGATTTTATTATGAATATTAATAATGATTTTGTTTCATAGGTTGGACAAGATTGAGTTATTGAAAAAAAAAATGTCCTGTTCTACCAAAAATCCTGATGTCTTCATTGCCAATAATTATTGTGATCAAAATGATATCCTCTTATCAAACCAACAATCACTTAAAGATGAGCCACATTTACGTGAAGAAGTTAGTACATAAAGTTAATTTATTTTAAATATGTGTTTCAATCAGTAGCGAGGTAGAGATAAACTTAATGGGTAGACATGTCTTAAAAAGATTTAAAAAATGAACATCCATCCATCACAATTAAATGGAAAATAGGCACTGATCTTTTATTTATAAGCATCAATTTATATCATTGTTCATATATCAATAATTTATCATTGGTAGTTACTTAATTAAGTAGAATTTCATCATATTAATGTAAAATATTAATAAAATTACAAAATTACAATTATAAAAAATAATGATTGATAGGAGGCAGTCAACTTGAAAAAAAATATCTTTCAATGAGCATGAACATAGATTAAAATTCCATAGATAGACAAATCTAATGTAATAAATTTGGCTCTCATTATTTTAATTTAGATTCAATCCAATAAAACTGTATGGTGGCAGAGGGTGAATAAGTATCTTCTGATCTCCTGTTACCATGTACCATTATTGGGCTTGTCAAAAGTTAATGAATGAAAAAGAGTTGCATAGGTGTTACCTGTCTATAGTGTAGTAATTAAAATATGGTGTGAGAAATATCTAATATAACCATTTCAGCATATATTCTGAAACCTAGCACTCCCACAATACTGTCACAGTACAAAATCATGTATATGAATTAAACATTGGTTTTTGTTTTAAAATATGTTTGTATACCCGTTTTTAATTATTGGAAACAAATAACAGTGAATATTCAATGAGTTGGATGGAAAAAAATAACTTAAATAAAATCAGGATGTTTTATTGATATTTATAACATATCCATACATAATTTTTTTAATGAATTTTAATAAAATGTAATTTTATTTTAGGAGAAAGACAATAATAGATATTTCATGGATGTTGGTAAGGCCAGTTTTCAAAATGAATGTTCTTCAACAGAAACATTATGGAATGAAAAGATTAATGAATGTAAGTCGCCATCAAGAAAACAAAGGTACTAACTAATATAACGTGTTTATATTATATACTATTTTATATTTTATTCTGAATAATGATATAATATTAATTTAATATATCAAACATGTTTGTTAATAGATATGACTGTATTGATGATGGTTCATTGGAACCAGCTGTTAAACCAACTAAATCCAAAAAATCTAAGTAAGTAATAGTATTACTAAAAAATGTATGAAAGGTTCTTTCTCCCCGACAGCATGTAACAGACATTTGAACGTCAGCACGACCACCGTCAACCTATGTCTTGAAACTGACTATATCTAGACGCTGTAGGTAAAGCTTATAATGTAAACTATGCTAACTTATAATTTCATTTATGTATTATGATACTGAAGTAAACATTTTTAACATGTTTTATATGCATAATAGTATTGTAAACATAACGATTTTTTCAATTTTAACAATCCTAATTATATCCCAATGTACTATCTAATATAATAATATATTTTAACGTCTTATTGTCCTTCCTGTGCTTTTATATGTTTAGTCTTCCACTCAATCTGAATTGAATTTAAAAACTATTTAGTATTTACAAATATTTAATAACGGACTAGATTTATTTTTAAGTATATTATCTAATACAATAATATCATTGTATGCAATATGATATTCAATTGTTTTTCTTAATAAAACTATTATTGAAATTTTTATACGGGTCTCTGAATTTCAATACTATTATTTATTACTTTATATGGATGGCTAGGCTAATGGTAGTACCAGATTACCTAATATGATTTTAGCTATGAACTAAATTCCTTAGTGATTGATGGAAACCACCACTTCCGTAACATTATTTCTATATTTTAATGTTACACTTATTTTTTTGTTTCAGGGCTGATATTTAGAAGATTAGTCAGAAATCAATGCTATCTAGTTTTGAACAGTATAAAATAATCAAAATAAATTATATATATTTTATTAAATGTATTTTAATATATTATTAACTAAAAATAATTGTTTATTAACTTATCAGTGTAAGAATGGAAATTATTTATAAGCTACAAAGTTTAAATTTAAGTATTGATTGAGTTAATTAAATTAGTAGAAACATGATATTTTTGAAACATAACAATAATGTATTTATACTGGCATTTAATCTTAGATGTTTAAATTCTTTTGCATAAATGCGATTTGGTGCTGTAAATTAAATTCATATATATTTATAGTAATATACCCTGTATATGCTCAGTATACTGATAACTGAAAATGTGCAGAAATATTGCAACATTCCTAGAAACCAGGGATTTTTATATATAGAATTATAATAGTTTTTGATGAATGTTGATTATTAAAAAATTATTTTCATACAGAACCATTATTTTATATTATTAATTATTATTTGGTATTTTTATGATTATATTATTAATTATTATTTGGTATTTTTATGATTATATTATTAATTATTATTTGGTATTTAAATAAATATATGATTGAATATTATTTGGTTTTTAATAGATTATATATTATTAATAACTATTTGGTGTTAATATTATTGAATATTTTACTATTTACCTTTACTATATATAACAGGGGCATGAAATGGTAAGTGGTACAGTGTTAACTATTAGTTCTGCATTTTGAGCATTCCGTGTGTATATAATTTATTAATTATTATTACTCAAACATTTTAATGTTATTAAGTTGTAGCAACCAATGATGGATTGGAAGGTGTCCTTATGTTTATTAGTACTTGTTATTCCTAAACTAGAACCCCATTTCATTAGTTTAATTAATTTTTGTAAATTTCTCCATGTTCAAACCTAGCAACTAGCTTGTATCAAATTTTTCAGAATGTTAACTATATAATGAAATATTTAATAAAAAAGTATGTTTATGAAATAAAACTATACATTAATTAAGGCTAAGGACTTTAATTTTTTTTTATATATGTCAAATGGTTGCAGTACAATATGAGTAATCTATAAATATGTTTCATAACACTTTAAACTATACACACATAAACCTATGTTTAAAACTTAACATATATAAATGCATATAATTTGTGCCATGGGCGTAGAGTATAAAAATTAAGAATATAATTTTTAGATTTTAGATTAGCAGTTAGTGTTGAATGTTTTGGAAAATGAATTTTGAAAAATACTGGGTAAGAAGATAATAAACTCACTATTAACGAGATAATATCAGATATTAAACGCAATGGAAATAGTAAATTAACTTAAGTTGTTATAATTTGTCATGAGATTATCGATGTTGATATCTTAATTGATTTATAAGGACTACTTAGCTGCCTAGGTATAACACTTTCACTAGTCTCAATGATAACTAGCAACGTCTCTACCACACATCACAGAGGCCAAGAGGGTAAGTATAGTTTAATATTTTCAACTATTTGGTATCTATGTTGTGGAGTGTGACATACTTTTAATTTACAATTTATTTAAAAGTTATAACTTATAAGTACTTAAATCATTTATTGTTTTCAAATTCTTATAAATGGTGTAAAATAAATATAAACAAAAAAAAACACTGCTCAAGAACAGTTTATAATTTATATCTTCCTCTACAAATGATAATTAGTAAATTTGCTCTAATATTAATCAACTTAACTGTCTTCACTGCACGTATGTACCTAGTAGGAATCTTTTGAATTTCACCATTATTGTCATGTGTGTTACTGTGCTACCTACCTACTGTTACACTAATATACATAACATATATAATAACATATATATCAGTATAACATAATAATATTACAGTCGAGTCTCGATAATTCGAGACTCAAAGGGAATAAAAATTAATTCGCTTAAGTATTTTTCGAATTATACAGGTACCTACTTCAAAGTTTCTCAAACACATTTCAAAGCGCAACACAACATTCGTTGAAATCGAAGTTTTCAAGAGTCGAGACTTAATTGTATATCATATAGGTATTTATTTCACTGAACCAGTGGACCGTCTGGACCTAGCCTATAACGTTACGTTTTACTTGATTTATAAATTCAACTGCTTTATATTAATTATATTTCACGATATTCGTACTTCTCGACGAAGATGAAATAAAATAAATAAATAAAATACAGACGTATTATATTAAGAGTATAATGCCACACACACATTTCGACCGACCGATCAACGAGCTGCTACGCCGGGGAGCGCAGCATGCAGTCATAATAATAATAATAGTAATAACATTGTAGGGCGGCTCGGTTATTTTTAGGTCCCTCGCCGATTCTCGTTATGTATATATATATAATATATTATACTATACGTACGCCACACGATTATTACAACTCTCCCGTGGAGCTTTGTTTAGTTCATCGTGTATGTGTACACGCGACAACAACATACGCGTCGGGCGATATCGAATAATTCAACATTTTAATAGTTGTAAGTACGACGAGCGAGCGGAGACTTGTTTAATACCGCAAAGTCCGGAGTGTCCGAGTTCATGTGAAATCTTCTTCCGTTTTAGCTTGCGAATCGTACATGTTTCTACATATATAATTTTTTGTTGAACACTGCTGCACCATGCCCGTTTACCCCATACAGCACGTGCCGATCGTGAAGTCAAAGAGGCCCGAGAATTCCGGGTTTTACAATGACTTCCGTCCATCGTCTCTGTATTCAGTGTACGTTTACTGTTTATATACCTACATTTAATTATGATACCTCTCATACCATCACCTGTGTAAAGGAGGGGACTTTTAGATAAAAATAAGACAAACAAATAATTTTTTTTAATTTTTAAGTATCAAATTAATGTCTTATTAACTGTGTATCGTAACTATAGGTACCCACTTAGCATTTTTATGTTCGGTAATTTGAAAGTTTAAAATATACTAAAATAAACGCCAAGAAGATTTTGTTGCCTCTACCTTCAATTTTACAAACATGGAATTGTAAAAGCTAGTCCAGGCCTAGTGGCTTTTTTCGCGCGGTAAATACTGTAGGCGGTCTTCATCGCGTCTGTGTGAACGTATTTTCGGCAAAGCCGCTCATAACTGCAGTATCTACTAATTCTATAAATATTTTAATATTTAAACTATTTTTAAAATAAATGCATTGTCTAGACACGTACTTACCTATTTACTAAACCGACGAAAATTCTATGCCACAAGTGAAAAAGTTGTTAAGAAATAAGTAACACCTAATTAAATTTGAGTTCAGAAAAATCTAATTATGAGTAAAAAAAATTTGATTTTTGGGTGAATTTGTCTAATCTCAGCCCAAAAAACATATTTTGTATGTTTGTTTTTTAACGATAGGTATTTTAACTTTTAAGGGTGTTATGAGCATTTTTATATACAGCCACGATTTTTCTCGAGGCTAATAGTTTGTTATATTAAAGTGGGCGCATGACTAGGATATCTCAGACGTGTATTATATTGGGTACCTATATATTATAACATTTTGGATTTTTCCAGCACTTCATACAAATTATGATTTTAACGATTAACGTCTTACTAGAGACCCCTAACCACCCCTTCAGAGAATTATAAAAAGTATGTAGGTAGTAGGTACCTAAATATCTACTTGAAAGTATCGACAATTGTGGAAATCTGTGGTTAACATATTTAATATTATTTGTTTAACCACGCTGTATATAATACATTTGGAATAAAAATAAATCAATAAATATTTCTTGATTGATTTTACATTTTTATTTTTTACTATTAACCCTGAAAGAAAGAAGTTTACTATTAAATTCGTGGTTAAGATGATCCACCCACGAACACACGCTTTATAAGGCGTTTGTTATAGGCAATTTTATTAACATTTTAAGAAAAAATAAAAGAAAAAAAGTAAATGTTTGTAATATACTAGTTCAGAGTAACTTTAAGACGTAGTTAATCATATTTGATTGTTGCGTGATTAAAAGTTATTTTGGAAAAACGGTTTCACTCTGTAAAGAATCAAACCAAATTTTCAACATACACAATATTATAATACTATTATGTAATATTATACTATAGAGTCTATAACAGGACGAGGACAACATGAAATTTTTTTTTTATTTTCTTGACAACACGAAAAAGTTAAAATTATAGTTTTGATATTAGTTAGTTTTACGTTTTTCAAACTTGAATAACATTTTACAATTTAACTTAAAACCTATCGAAAAAATGAAAACGACATTGCATAGGTAATACAAGTTTTCTTATTCTAATTATATATGGCGAGTATTTGGTATTTTAATTAAAAATATTGAACATGTGAAATGGATTTTAAGTTTTTAGCATGTCATTTATGGAAGTTTGGCATTCTCATACATAATATCTGATAGGTACAAACTACAAAGTATAAAGTCTTATGTCATAAGATTACTTAACATGATTATCTGAACAATGGTTCAATTAAAGGCTCAATATGCTATCTATAACTACGCACTTTAAGGAATAAACTAACAAATAATAATTAATTTATAAATGAATAAGAGCTTTTTACGTGATCGAAACACTTTCCAGTAATATTATAATAAATTAATATTTAATAGCTGTGCTTTGAAATTCTGAGGGTGGAAGGGGGGTGCTGACACAAATAGTTACTAAATATAATATTAGCATAGATTTCATCAATTTACAAGTACCTACATATTTAATAATTGTTGTATGTTAAGCTGTTAAATATGTTTGTCTTTAACTATGTTTGCCAACAAAATTGTAGGCATCTATCCCAAAAATTCAAAAATGAACGAAATGTTTTTTTTTTATTAGTTAAATGGCCTACTTAAGTTTATTAAATTATATGAAACTGTATTAAAGATAATTAAAAAATAAATAATATTTAGGTCTAGTAAATTAAATGTATTCCTGCAATTACTTCATTTCAAACTATGAATGAATTTACTATAGTCATAATATTTTTTTTTCACCAACAATATTTTCAGAAAAAAAACCACCATAATTCTATACAAAATATGGTTGTTACCATTTA